CCCAAGGCGCGCGCACGCGGGATCTTACTTAATTGATGCTTAATTAATCCCGACTCTGAGACGTGGTTTATTGTGAGCGAGAGAGAGTGGCGGAGCTGCCTGCGCCTTGACTTCGCATTGTCTGCAATCTCGGCGCGTTACGTCGATTCACGCACCAAGTCAGATGTATTTCAGTGTTTGCCGGCAAATTGCGTTCCGAGCTGTTGAGCAAATCTCTCTCTTAATCCCTCTCTCTCTGCAGTCGCAACGTTATCGAAAGCATTTCCTCCTCGCGATCGAGTCTATTACGTATATTCGCGCCTCGCCAATAAAATGTACGCGCTCTCGGTTAATTCGATGCGAGCGACGCGTTGCATTTTAATCAATCTGCTTGGCTACGGATTTTCACGCGACAAAACCGGGATTTGATCTCACTCATAGACTTACTTATGCGAGCGTTGACTTAGGCAAATATTTAAGCATCGTCATTGTGCGATTCGAATCGCTGAGCGTATCTCACGATCGTGTGTCGTGGGTTATAATCTGACTTTAAAAAACGGAAAATCCATTTGTGGAGCGGCGCGCTTTCAGCCTCGTTAATCCCCGCCCTTTCATTCATCGATCTCCGCGATGCGTTAGAGAGCGAGGTCCTTCCAAATGAAGCCGTCTTCCCGAGCAACACGCACGCGCATAATAAAAGGGCGCGCGAGGCGCGGCGGCCCCGCGTTTTCGCGAAGAGATGGAAATCGATGGGGGCGTGGACATTATCCCTGCCGATTATGAGCAGCCGCAGACAAGCGTGAAGCTGCTTGCTTGCCGCCGAGAGAGGAAAAGCTTTCTTCCGTCGAGCTCCAAGGTGCGAACATACAAAAGAACAGACTGACACGATCGCGCCATACAAAGTGTCGTAGCTCATCCACCGTCTACCGACAGCTATACGGCTATACCCTGCTAGCCTTCTGATCTCACCTTTCTGTCAGCGCCAACTTGTTCCCGGTTGTTGCTTTGTGGAGTAAGATGTCTCGCTGCGCGCTCAGTTCTCGTCCTGTCGTCCTCTCCTCTCTCGCGAACTCTTTTTCTACCGTTGCTCTCCACAACCATTTTTCATGCCATTAAGATTTCCGAAAATGATAGCTGTTTATACAGTTTTCAACAAACTTTCTCGTGAGCTCAGAGAAAAATGTAATAAATGAAATCGTACGTCTCCAAAATTGCGAAAAACGAACATAGATCTTTTTATCTATAATATAAACAAATGAAAAGACGAGTCCGGCTAAAAGAGGTTCCAATCCCTCCTGGAAGCATATCAACTCCCCGCTGAGGCTCATCTTTACGAAACCGATGGCCCGCGCTCTCTTTCTCTTCCTCAGCCTTTCAGCTGAACTTGACTACAATGAAGGTGTTAGAGCGGATAACAAGCTGATGAGGTATCTCCTCTGAAAAAATCGCCGGATCGCATCCTGGTAAGCTGCTAAAGCGCGCGTTTCAACTTTTCTCCTGTTATACGCTGCTGGACATTTTTCCTTGTAACAGTTCTTAGCGCGAGGTGTGTAAAAATACGTTATGACCAGCTCAAGACGTTACGCCAGCTCAAAGAAACATTAATTATTCTGACTTTTGTACGCAAGTTTCGACTACCAGTTTTGAAAAATTCATAATTGGATAGTCACTGCGATCTATTAATTACGAGAGTTTAGACATAGTGCAAATGCAGAGCCTTTTACGTAAGCGGGTCAAGAGCATCTCGAAAGACTTTTGACGACTCTTTCACGCTTGCTACTTTCCTTCCAACTCGCAAAAACTAATAATCCTCATTAGTGCATCATTATAGCTTTATTATGGGCTCCATCTCTCGTTTTCTTTACTTGCAAAACTGTAAGCGAAATGAAAATGAAAGTTACGGCTTAACCAGTGTTCCGTGGATTATCAGTGGTCGAGCAAGGGAAAAAAGGGAGCATTGACAACGGAGTTAACTTCTGGAAAAGCGTGAGGCATCTGGGCACGACTGTGAAGGCAAATCTGCCGGCAGGAATTGTCCGCACATGTCCGCGAGCAACAAAGCGATTTCCCGCTGCGCCAGGATTCGATGATCGTGCACGCGCCCCTCGATCGCTTTTTGTCTTCTTCGATTCTCGGAGATGAAGATGCGAACAACGACGATGAACGTGTCGCGCGTTCAACACCGTGGACTTGGAGCGCTCGCTGCCTTTATTTCAATTTTATCGATCCCACTCAAAAGGAAGCATCTCGCGGCGCGAAGCCGCAGACGCTATTTTTACAAAGCTTTTTCATGATTTATGCTCGGCTTGTTTATTTCGAGATCGAGATCTTCATCGAAACTTTTCGAATGCATTGCGCAGCGTAAATCCGCATTGTCGGAAAAAGTAATTTACGGTGAAGCGTGCAGCCAGCGGCGTGCCTCAAATCGTCGATTTGATCAATTGAAAGGAGGAACGCAACGCGCAGCTTCTCAATTTAATGGGAGTAGCACGCGTGAAGAGGCCAAAAGCCCCGAAAAATTTGTTTACTCGGGCCGATGAGCCCCGAGTTAACACATTATTGTCGGGAGGTGTGACAGACCTGCAAATCCTAATCTGGGCCCCGCCTCCCGCGGCGAGAGCGCGCGTCTTCCAGAAAGGCCTCCGCGTCCTTGCTGCTCGGTAGCCGGCCGTTATTATGGTCGTTACTTTGAGAAATCGCCTAGCGCTCTCATTCTTTCGCTCGCCCAGAGAAGACCCTGCGCGCATCATTCATCTTTGTTCTGGCAGTACGAGAGGCCAATCTTTACGAGGTCTTCTCAAACCAACTACCTGCCACCAAATCATCATTGTCCAATTCTTTTCTTACTCATCTCTATCGAGATATGATGTTTTGAAACCACCCTAAGAAAAACCTAGCCGATTGTCCCGAAATGCATGCATAGAGCGCTATTTTCGAAAACATTTTTAATATACCTAGATGATATACCTATTTTCTTGGTGCTTTCATTCTTTTGATATCTTCGTCTTGAAACATTACTGATTTTATGAAATCCGGAAAAGAATGGCAAATTAATATCAATGATTTCAATGGAAACGTTGAATTTTCGGAATCTCGGCTTTTCTCACACTGTCGGAACTGCGCCACGACGCATGCGGCACACGGTAGTCGCGCACGGATCACACGATCAACTAGCAGCGTCGACAATGAGAATTCCGGCAGTTTTCCGCGGCATCGCTCTCGGCCGCGTTTGTCGAATCGCAAATGTCCGAAGAAGAAACGACAGTGGCGCATCAACGTAAGAGAGTGTCGAGGCGTATTTAAGCCGGTCTCCCGTGGATCATCCGATGGTCTTACCGAGAGAACTCGCGGCTTTATTTTTTTCCCCGTACTATCCGGATTAGAGCGCCGCGGGGGGAGGCGATCTGTTATGTAACCGAGAGATGGAAAAGCGTAGGCCCGAGTGGCAAATCCCGCAATAAAATGTTCTCGGAAAGGTAAAAAACCAAAAAAGGCATCCGACGAAGGTAATATTTTGGAAAGGTTGTGTAAGGAAGATCGGCTAGAATTCGTTATCTGCGGGCTTCGCACTTGTGCCGACACCTGCGCGCGCGAAAATCACGGCAGAAAGTGAGCCTCGCCGAGAACATCCCCTGTAGCAGCTCACTGATTTATATGTATAGCCTGGTGTTTATTCATCCCGGTATTATCCTTGTCCCTTCACCTGCCGCGGCACCTGTCTCGAGAGAGGCTTCGAAACACTATCTTGATACGCAAAGCAAACACGCGCGCGGCAGCAGCCCGAGCTCTTGGCGCGCCGACCGCGCCGAGGGATCGTCGCACATGGTTTTCTTTCGGAGAGGCTCCCTTGACTAAAAATTTGCTTACACAAGGCCCCTCATTGAGCGGAGGCACGACGACGGCGCAGGTCCCTTGCACGCGCTCGAAAGTCTATAGCCGTAAAAGCGGCCCGATGCCTCATTTCGACAGGTTACCGATGGATTATCGCACTCGCGTGTGTTTGCGATTGTTCGCTGCTCGACAAGCTGCAATCTCGTGCAAACATTCAGCGGCTATCCGGGCTCAGTGGGGAGCGTCTTTTGGGAAATGGCCGTCGGAAGGATCACGAGCGGAGGCGACTCGGCGTGCAGTTGGCGGTCTTGCCCAAAGCAAGCACTATGAATACCCAATAAATCGACAATAGCTCATCCCATCAGTCATTGCAGAAAAGGCGTGCTTCGCATCGATAAATATTCATTGGGCGCTGGCCCAGCAAAAGTCGACGATCGGCGCCAGCGTGATCGCGTTCTGTCCGGAGAAAGAGAGAGAGACATGCGGGAGGGGGGGGGGGGGGATGTCTGCGATGCGCGAGCGAAGGGGCGACCCTTGACTAGCCATGCGCTGGCTGCGCGACGAGCGCCGCCACAAGACAATTGAAAGAATCACTTGTCTCGCTCGTCCTCCGCGCAGCGCACAGGGTGCGATCCCCTCGCAGTTGCCCGAAGTGAGAAACGTGGAAATTAGCCGCGCGAGAGAGAATCATTATGTGACACGGGGGTGCGCGCGCGTCGCGCGTACGCGCAGTCAAGTGCCTATCGGAGCAAATGTACCGTGTCCCCTGCCTGCGCGCGCTCCCGAATTGCATCGCCACTTCCGCCCTATCGTTTATATATGAACTCAGCCTCTCTCTCGCTGTTGTCGTATTGCTCGGCTGATGCTGGCTGTCATAAAGATATTAGTTGCGGTTCAACCGCAAGTGTATTATCGTGTTTCGAACGCGCGCGCAAGCTCTCGACGATCTGCCTTCTGTCTCTCGTTTTTGTTCTTTTTTTTCTCGTTTCAACGACAATCATTTTTTTTTTAGATAGGCACGCGCGGATACGATTGTCGCCAAATACACAAACACGCATCGTCAAACGAATGCAAGCTAGCGTGCTCGTGCACGAGCATCCGCGGGATATCACATCTCGCGAAAACCATTCGGTCTTTGGCGAATCGAAGGAAAACGTGCTGGACATCAACGCATTGGCTCTTTTTTGCAGGTGCTGTACGCTTGGAAGATAGCGCGCGAGTCGTTCGAGGAGTCGAGGGATTGGATGAAGTTCATTAGAATCACGATCAATCCAGACGAAGCCAACGTACGCAAAATCAAAAACAAAGATGGAAACGTAAGATATTTGCACAATACAACAGAATTGTTAGTACAGCAGCTGACGCCGATGTGTTTACGAGATAATCGATAAGCCATATGCGAAAGCAATGTGGAGAAGTCGAAAAATCAATCGTACACATCACAGACGTGACCTGTTTACCGAAAAATTATAGTCGCGAGTTAAAAAGCAACTGACGCTCGGCGACGGTGTCGTGGGGCAGCCGGGGGGGGGGGGGCATACGAACAATAATTTCGTATGCCGGCTCGTTGAAGCGATTTTAACTGATTTAACATATGTTGCCCGCGTCCTGCCGGAATGAGCATTCCAGGCAAACTGCGCGCCGGAGTCCGTGCCCCCATGCACGATGAACGACTTCCTGGCATCATTCGGTGAAATATCAGCCAGCAGCGAACGCGTCCTTTTTAAGATCGTTTCTCTCTCAAGTAACTGTGTAGTGGTATTGAAGAAAGCAACTGGTAATTTCAGACGTACTTCGAAGCAATCCGCAACATATCGGTGAAAGAGGAGTTGACGAGCTACATCGAGCCGTACGGCCATCAACAGCGTAGGATAGCCATCGAGGACGAGAACACGAGCGAGTACGGTGAGTATGCTTGATCAAAGTCCAATAGCGTCCGTTGCAAGTCAAGCAACGTCAGGTGCAACGTAAATCCCCGACAGTATGTTTCGCAGCTGAACAGGAAGAGAGGAGGGAAAAAGAAATCGCGCCGAGGGTGCGTGGAGCGTGAATCGTGAATCGGCCCGTCACGGGCTTCTGACTCCGTGATTCACCTGGTCTACGTGGCCGTTGGTTGCATACGCGCATAACCGACCCCTGCGATTACATATCCTCGTGTGCTGACGACCATCCCCCGCCGACTGTGGGGCTTTTTGTTGACATTATTGCCGTTATTGTTCTCTCGATCGGCCACGCTTTTGCCCCATTGTTCGGCATTCAGCTTCGCATCGAGCATCTATCTTAAAAAAGTTTCTATTCAGTCTCAATGTTCATCGTTCGATTCTATTCACGAGGGCTCGTTAATTAAGGAGACAGCAAGGAAAAGTTAATTTCGGACCAGTGCTTTTTCACGGCTATCTGGCGCTCGTTTCGGAAAGATGTCTCTCGCGCCGGAGATGGTTTACGCGGGGACTTGGAAGGTTATGCGATATCCAGATGTCGCGCGGTAATTAAAAGCGGGATTATTGTCGAAGTTAAGCAGGCGCAGCCGAGAATGGCGGCCCAATTGGCATTCAAGCCTGCGCGCTACTCTTATCATTTTACGATCCTCTCTCGCGTCGACTCCTTTTTTCGCAACATTGTTCCGGCCAACTTTGGATGAAACTAATTTGACGCTTGATTACGGGGCTATTAAATTGCCGCCGCCGCCGCCGCTGCCCGTAAAGTCGTCCGAACGACTTAATTAAACAGTTGCGTAAGTGTGTGCGTGCGCGCGCGCGTGTTTTGAAAAAGTTTAATCTGTGCACGAGAAAAAGCGCGATAAACGCCCTTAAGTGCCCCGAGATTTATCTCTGCATACGCTCGCTTATTAATTTTATCACATCATGCACCGAGTGGCGCTTATGGCGGAAACGACCGCATCCAGTTCCCGGCAAATTTTTTTATCCGTAATTCTCACACTTGTGCTACGCTAACTGCTCTCTTTCTCTCTCTCTCTCACTGCAAGTTTATTTATAAAGTCATCCTTGCTTCTGATAGCTCTTGCATCGCTTGACTTACAACGACCTTATCCGCGATCACTATTTTTTTACACGGCCGCTGATGGACGTGCTCAAGCAAGGACAACGGCAATTAAATCGCGACATTTCACTTGACGTTAAAAGAAGAAACGTCGAGGGGCACTCTTCGATTGCGCACATTCAATTTGATTGATAAAAGTGGCGCGAGCGCAGGCTGAACAAAAGTGCGATTCCGTGCGAAGGCAGGCGAGCAATCGAATAAACGCATGCACACCGCAAAATTAACGCGACAAAGTCATGTAACACGCGTGGCAGCATAAAGCGCGAACGCGTGCGCGGTGTGCTCGGGGGCTGGGAATCGGTGCCGCGTGAAAGCGGGCGATGTCAGTGGGAATAATGATGTCAAACAAAAAGGAGCGACGAGGAGCAAGAGAGAGAGAAAGAGAGAGAGAGAGAGAGAGAGAAAAGGAACTACGGGCGGCTTTCTGTCCGAGGCGCGCGCAACCCTTGCGCATCTGCGTGGCGGTGGAGTCGCGCGCGAAGGGATTTGTCGCCCGGTGGGAGGCAACGACGCATCATTGCGCCTCGGGGGTGCCCCGAGAGAGCATTCAAATGCGCCGCAGCCCACTGCTGTTGCCACACCTCGCGCTTAAGCCCGCGCCAACATATTATATTTCTTTGCACGCCCTCGGGCCGCTCTCTCCTGCTATTATGCTTGTTCGCGCCCGTGCAGGACAAATGTATTTAGATAATGCGTCCGTATGTATTGCCACCGATGAATTTTTACCGGCGATCGCCGCCGCCGTTTGATTCCGGATATTATTAACATCTGTCCCCTCGCGCGCGCCGCAGCCGCTTGATTGACTTGTTTCCCTCGTTCGGTTGGGTACCGTCCATTCTCTTGGTCGTTTCAAAATATACCTCGCTTTACAAGTCTCATTCAGTCGCCGCGGTGTTGTTTGTGTTTTGGCATCAGCTTCGTGTCTACCAATATCGCTTACGTTTCTCGCGTCTGTGTGCGAATTTAAATGTTTTAACCGCGTACAGATTTTTCCGCTCTCATTTGTCACCCCTTCAACAACAAAAAATGCCCCTGACAATTGTACACTCGCGTACGATAAAAAAACGTAGGTAGCTGATGCGCGCGCGCGCGCGGCCGCAGGACCAGTTTAGCCCGATAAATTATGAAGCTGATTTTCCGCTACGGAGTTTTTTTTTTTTGGAAGGGGGGAGGGGTAGGCGCGTCTGATCTACGCTTGGGCTTATCTCCGGGCGTTCGACGTCTCTATTAGGCTTTCCGATAATTTATGACTCTTATTGTCGATTAACGCGCGCGTGCGGGCCCATATAGGGCAAAAAAAACGCGTGCGTATACTAAAAGGGGTACCACACCGCGACAAAAGGCCACGCGACACTCGCATCTTTTTTTTTGTCCTAGAGGGGGTGGCGAGCGCCCGCTTTCTCTCTGTACAACCCCATCTGATTCATCGAATCGGCCTAATGACACGACTATTTGACGTTTAGCTCAGCGACGCGCTCGTAATGCGCACGATGTATTCGCGCTCCGCTCCACCGATATGTCAAATTTATCGCTTGCTCACGGTTCTCGTTCTGTCTTTTGCACCAATGAAACCGCTGCTTTTTATTTCTCTGAGCTTCGCGACAACTTTGAAGTGTCGATTTTCGCACGATTACTTATAAATGCCTTTAAATATTTAATTACGAACGACACAAATGGTAAAGAGTGACAAGGCGAGCCTCCGGTCGTAGGTGCCCTCATGTGAATGGACGAAGCGACCCGGTCACTTGTCGTAGGGGGGTGTCCGACGAACTGACGGACAGGAAGAAGCAAGACGTAGGTGTAGAAAAGTACAGGGTTCAGCTTGGAAGGCAAAGTTACCAAACGATTAATTTCCGTTACTTTTTCCCATGTAACGGCCAACTGACTTGGCCGCAGGGGGTGCCGTGCAGCAGAAGTAGACCCCACCTGTTGACTTTCCGCACTGCGACTTCGACTGCCAGCGTCAAGCCAAGTTTTTATTCCTGCAAAGATTAGCATAATTTTTTCAGTACCATCTGTTTTTTTTTCTTCGGCGAGGCATCCCGCAGTGGGAATTTTGATAATTAAACGCTTATCATTGAATTTCAGGAGTAATTTTCTTTTGCATAATTCACGGGTTAAGAGTTCTCACAGGCGATAAAGGCTTGGACAAAATTTTATATATATGTCTTATTGATACTTTTGCCGAAATAACGTCAATTAATAAGAAAGAAAATAATGCTCATTTAGGTTCCGTGAATAACAAATTCCTTTAAAATCCCCTTCTCGATCTCTAGCTAACGAACAGTAAAATCTTTTTTATAACTGCTTCACATTGGGTTATTTGCCGAAACCAGAGTCACCGTAGTCGAACCACACGATGATCGTGATCGCGTCCCAAATTAGTTGCGGGCTAAGGGCGATTAATGTGGCGCGTTTGCCACACAGCAGGGGTTGAAGTTAAATCGAGAGAGAGAGAGAGAGAGAGAGAGAGTGAGAGTTGACTCGTTGTAGGCGTTGCAGTTTGCTCGGTTCCCATGAAGGTCCGTTGGGGGTATGCGACGCGCAGAGCGCTCAAAGTAGCCGCCATATGGCCTGACCGACAAGTGCACTGGGAGATTTAAATAACCGTTGGCTACGAGATCGCGGAAGCTATCCCCGACGAGCACTTCCCTCTTGTCCTAAGCTATTACCCACAGGCTCATTTCACAAAGTTCGTTATTAATTTATATCTGACTTTAACGTTTTTCACGTTCGGCCGAGGAGACCGCCCTAACTCTGATCAGAACTATTAAATATCAACTTCTAGTACTTTCAATATAAATTTAGAGTAATGTTTTATTTGTCTGTTATTAATGTTTTTATGTGATACTTCAATTAAATGAATTACTTGATTCTATCAACTTAATTGATTTTTTTTAATTTAAAGTTTGAGCTTATCAATTGCAATAACAATATGAGAACTATTATATTATAAGAATTTTTCAAAAAAACCGGTGAGTATAAAAAAATGAATGCTGGTATAAGTTATTCAAAGAGACAATGGCTCGTGAATTTTCGCACGATTGTTATTCAAGGCGATCGTCCGGTGTTGGCGGAGAAAACAGTAGGTTAGCAGCCGGAGCCAAAAGTCAGAGAGAGAGAGAGAGAGAGAGAGCGCGCGCGGCGGCACAACACGCGATGTGTCGCGAGGGTGGGAAGGTGTAGGAAAGACGAAGCGTTGCGATGGGACAGGCCCGTAAGTAATGTGCCCCCCCGCGCAGTCAGTGGCGTATCCCTGACTTCCCGATTTCACCTGCACAGCGGCGGTGTTGAGGCGGCGGCTCGGTCAGCAGCGCCAACGCGACAGACTCGTGCGAGGGTGGCATTGCCGCCGCTCGTGTATACCGACTGTTGGGGGTGCCTCGGGATTGGCCGCCTCCGCTCGACCAATCGGAGCCGAGCGATCGTGACAGTAGTCTGGCGGCTCCGAACTGGAGCATCGTTGCTCGGGCTATTGTCTTCTCAGCCGAGTTGTGTGTTGGATCGCGCCACTCGCCGGTCTACCTTTCTCTCTGCTCGCCTGTCACTCCATTAATCCGACTACTTACGCGAACGACCTGTCCCTGCATAGGTGCGTTTAACGCCACACTAATAGTGCTCGATTGTTTGCGTTGCATCGATTTCTTCTTCATTTGCGATGTTTACCTGATCGAATATTTGATTTTGCAGCCTCTCAACACAGCGGCGCGTCCCATGCCGACGAAGACAGAGAAGACGAAGAGGACACCGATACCAGGTGTACAGTTTGCGACAAGCCGTTCCAAGGCATCGAAGTGTGAGTTCCAATGTTTCTATATCTGTTTACAACTTTACCTTTATTAGCGTTGTTGTCAACGTTTGTTTCGAAGCGAAACGGTATGTTCACGACTAAATATTTTTCATTACGACTCGAGATCGCCGCCAAACACTAATTCCATTCGGAAGCAAAGTGCTCGATTTGTCCGCGGGCAATTAGCGCGATAGGCCGCAAATAAATTGCGTAGAAAAAAGCAGGCTTTGTTTTGCTAAACGAATGCGTCACTCTGGTAACGTCGCTCGTCAAGCTGAATAAACTATCAGCTCTCGAGGCCACCCTCCCGCGGCAGGAAGAAAAAAAAATCACAACTCGAAATCAGATGGACGATTGCCCGCACGCGTTGCACTCGTACTATAGCATCGATAAAGAGAAAGCGAAAGATGCGGCGCTCGAGATAGTGCAGCGCTACGCGAAGCGCGTGTCGGCGATACACCCGTGCGTCAATTATTAATTAACCGCGTGGATTCGAGGGTCGCTTGCGCAAGCTCACGCTCGGTCTTTCTCTCTCTGTACAAGCTATCCACTCAAAATCTCAATGGACGGGCCCGCGATCACGCGACCATTTCAAGCCGCGTGCGTGCGCTGCGTAGGTGGAGGAGACGCGTGTGCCTACAATGGGGCTGCCTCCTGCACGCCTATAGCCAGAAGTCAAACGTTTCGACGAACCCTCTCGTTCGCTTTTTCTTTTTTTTCAACGGTGACTCTCGACGGCGTGATTCCTTCCAGTGATTGTTGACCTTTTACGAGTTTTCTCACGCCCGGTCGAGTTGAGGCGGTCGATACACAAATCGTGCAGCGTCATTTCGTACTCTCTCCGCGTCGCTTTACCCCGTTGAAGCACCGGACGGTTATTATTTGCTCATCGACGAGAAAATCGATAGCGATAGTTCCATACGTCCGTAACAAGTTTAAAATGACGTGATTGCGCAAGGGCTGCGTGCGTTTAAATTGTTCGCGAAAGCTCGGCCAGGTCAGCCAGTAGTTGTAATTAATTTCGCAAGTTTGCAATTGGAACGAGCGGAAGCCGAGGCGCGCGCCCAATGCATCGCGTAATCTCGCATCAATGATCCTTCCGAGAAGGCTATAGTTAATAAATATCGGCTAATGAAGCGCGACGACGGCAGGCTGTCGTGAGTTCTACCCTTGCGATTCTAACAATACGATGAGCGTGCGGTCGTCGGCCAAAGTACGTAATACGAAAGACGGCTTCGCCATTGTCCTTTTATATAGATTTTCCGATTACACTCGATCGGCAGATCGGCACCGCTCATTTGTCCGTCACGCTTTTTACCGTCTATACAATTTCGCTGTCGACTCGTGCGCGAGGGACTGACTCTGCCAATTATTACTCCACTTTCACCCCTGCATTCGGTTCCGTTTAAACGTATCATTCGAGGCCGAATTGGAGACGATTAGGGATCCGTTTCAATTAAATCCAAGTAAATTGAAAATATATTCCGGCTGAAAAGTAACGCGGAGCCGTTAATTGATCAACTCGGCAGGCGAGTCTCTGATTTCGGGCGTCGAGGGCGAGGGCGAGGGCGACCGCGAGCGCATACATAACTCATAGGGAAGCAAGCGAGCGACGGGCCTCGCGTGCTGCCTGCTCGTCCCGTCGTCGGCGGCACTATCTTACCGCCTGATAATGGCTTTCACGCGCTCGGGACAGCGGCGCTGCCGCGATGTCGGAGCGGCAAATCAATAGCGATGGCCCTTTCGCCAGAATCTCGCCCCCTCGATAAACGCGCTCGCTCTGGTTGTAGCTTGAACTATCACCTGGTCAGCTGCCACGGATATCCAGACCGCGAGCACTGCTGCACGAGCTGCTCGAGCGGCTACGCCTGGCGACCGCTGCTGATTCGCCACCGCGCCCTCGCGCACGGAGACGTACGCAAGTACCCCTGCGAGAACTGCACCAAGGTAAGCTAAGACCATCCGCGGGCCAAGCACCCCGAGCCATCCGTCACTGTATCTCGAGCCACATCTATTCAATGTTTCGCTAATAGCCGGACCATCCGCAGGTGTTCACTGACCCGTCGAATCTCCAGCGGCACATCCGAACCCACCACGTCGGAGCGCGCAGCCACGCGTGTACCGAGTGCGGCAAGACCTTCGCCACGAGCTCGGGCCTCAAGCAGCACACCCACATCCACAGCAGCGTCAAGCCCTTCCGCTGCGAGGTCTGCTTCAAGGCCTACACCCAGTTCTCCAACCTCTGCCGCCACAAACGCATGCACATCAAATGCCGGCTGAAGATCACCTGCGCCAAGTGCAAGGCGCAGTTCAACACCATCGCCTCGCTGTCCAAGCATAAGCGATTCTGCGACTCGACCGTCGCTCTGCCGCCAAGCTCCGTGGCCGCCGCGCCGGCCGCCGCCGCACTGGCAGCGAACATGCCTCAGCCACAGCCGAACCCCTTCGTGTTCCCGACGCAGCCGCCGCCCTTCTACCCGTCGAGCTTCATGAAGTACTACTCGGACAATATACTCGCCCAGTTCCGCGGAACGGCGGACGGTCTGGCGGGCTTGCCGACGATGCTGTTCCGGTCAGAAGACGACCTGGACAGAGCGTCCATCGCGGGCACCGCGGGCTCCGAGCGGCCCAGGGCCGCGCAGGAGAGGTTCAGCCCGCCGCGAGCCGGCGCGCCGTCGCAAGCCTCGCCGGCCCAGCAGCCGCAGCCCGTCCCGCAGAAGGTGTCGCCCGCCGCCGCGGAGGAGGCGACCTCCACCCTGCGACCGTCGCCGGCCCGGCCGGCCGCGCCGCGCCCCGAGGAGTGCGCCAGCCCCAGGCAGGCGAGCGCTCAGCGGCACAGGGCGGCCAAGCAGCAGCCTCGCCAGGGCTCCGTCGAGCGGGAGGAGCCGCAACGGCAGCCGCAGCAGCAGAGCTGCTCGGAGCAGCCGCTGGACTTGTGCGTGCGAACCAAGCGTCGACAGCCGGCCGAGTCGCCGGTGTCGAGCGTCGCCGCGCCGGAGCCGGAGCGGGAGCGGGAGCCCACGCCGAAGCGTCGTCGGAGCGAGCACTGCGAGGACTCGCCCCGGGCCAGCTCGCGAGCCTCCGACAGGCTGAGGAGCGCCGAGCGCCAGCTCGAGGGCGGCGCGGCTCCGGAGGGCAAGGATGGCAGCGGCGGCAGCCCGCTGCCGCGAGGCGCCGGCCAGGCGCCGTCGGCGGAGGGCCAGTCGGTCAGCGAGAGGACGCCGACTCCGCCGCCGCCGCCGCCCCCGCCCCCGCCGCCTCCGCCACCGCCGGCGTCGCTGCCACCGCACATGGCCTACCCACGGCCCATCCACCCGCTCTTCCTCGAGTCGATGTACCGCAGCTCCTCCGCCGCCTTCCCCAGCTTCCCGGCGGTCGGCGGCGGAATGTCCGGCTCGAGCAACTCGGCGGACCACCGCCTCCTGCAACCGATGCCGCCCTTCGGACCGTGCAGCCTACCCTTCCTGAGACCTCTGATGAACGGCTTGGGCGGGCCTAGGCCGTCGAATTACGACGTGCTAGCCAGACCGTCGCTCGCCTGCTTTCCGGGCGTGAAGCCGTTCCAGGAGTCGGCTATACCGCCGCACCAGCCCAGTCCCTTCGCCGGCAAAATCAAGGACCGCTACTCGTGCAAGTTCTGCGGCAAGAACTTCCCGCGCTCGGCCAACCTGACGCGCCATCTGCGCACCCACACCGGCGAGCAGCCCTACAAGTGCAAGTACTGCGAGCGCAGCTTCAGCATCTCCAGCAACCTGCAGCGCCACGTGCGCAACATCCACGACAAGCAGCGACCCTTCAAGTGCCCCATGTGCGAGCGCTGCTTCGGGCAGCAGACCAACCTGGACAGGCACCTGAAGAAGCACGAGGCCGACGACGGCAGCGGAGTCGTGTCCGTGGCCGACTCCGCCGACAGCAGCAACGAGAACGAGCGCGAGGAAACGTCCGCGTATTTCGACGAGATCCGCTCGTTTATGGGCAAGGTGACTTACGGCAGCGACATGGCTTACGGACTGCCGCCCCACCATCCGGCTTACCTGCCCAGTCGCCTGCACGAAGCTCACGATTTGATGGCTGAGCCCAAAGCCACGTACGACGACGAGGATAGCGACGAAATGGTCTCGTCCTCGCTGGCCGGCAAGGAATCGCCGTCGTCGCAGTTTGATCTTAAGCTGAGCGCCAAGCGAGAACTGCTCAACAACAACACAGCTGAGCCAGTCATTGAAATTTCCACATAGTTCAAACATTTACAGCCGACCTACCATTTTTGGACGTGAAATTGTCGCATTATAATTCAGTCGCACGTACTTTGAACAGATTTGATGAAGCGCGCGCTCGAACCGTAACTACGTCGGTTGAGTTTCGTAGGCTGTCCCTAGACGACAGCCGCGAAAGTCAAATTGACGCCTTAACTTCGTTAATGTGTAAATTATCTGGAGGACAGTTGTGGCGTTAAATGTGATGGTCAATCTTTTGAGTATTATTTATTATAGTTAATGTTAATTACATGTTATTACTGGCTGAAGCGGATATGTTGTTGATTCGAGGGGGAGTAAAAGAATAAGATTCGTTCCTGAATAGTGACTAAGTTATTTTGTTATTTGTGAGAAAGACTTCAAAGTACCAATTTGAATTGACTGCATTGGCTGAAATTGATCGTTGTTCGAAATTAGCTTAGTCAAGTAAAGCCAAAGCATTGGGTGGATAAATAATAGGAATTAGACAGAGGACAGTGTAATTACTTTATGATTAATCAACGACAGCGAAATGTACAAAACACTTTACATTAAGCGAATATATAAGGACGTTTGTAAAAAGTCTTCGTAATTTTTAAGCACCTATAAGCGATATTAGTAATATAAATATTATATATATACATAGAAATGTGAATATTATTTGAAAGAAATAAAACTTAATCGTAGAAAGTTAAAGTTTCGTAAATGTCACCTCTAATCATCTTGCAATTTTTGGTGCGCACTATTGTCATTCAACTATCTAATAGTTGGAATTTTTGAACAGCAGTGAGCGCCGTAATCATTCTATGTAAATTAAGGATACGCTAAACACTTCAGAGAGAGAGACTGGAGTTTAAAAGATTTTTATGCTTCAAGAACATTGAAGTTTTGATTAATCTTTTTGCAAAATGTGATGGATGAGATTGCACGTGTTTTTACATAAAGTTTCTATAAGTATGTACATGTTCTTTAAATAACTCTTTATCTCATTTCTTGTAGTCGTATATTCTTACAATAAAATTAGTCTAATTACAGTTACAACAATAAAATATTGAATATAATTATCTATAAATACTGTATAGAAACCACTATAATAAATTAATTGCTATTGAAAATTTATATCTAGATTTATTACTTTTTTCCAACCATACAAATTCTACCAATACATGATTTTTTCCAAAACGCTATTAATACTTCAGCTTGACCACTAACCCAGTAGACTTGGAATTCACAATTTAACTATTGGAAGTTGAATCTATACGCCAATCCAAGAAGCTTATCCGCTGTTGACTCTCATCTATGAATGTTGCATTACATTTTAGCAACAAAAAACTCTTGAAATTAATTAGGCAATTGTCTCATCTAACAAATAATATGATTATTCAATCGACGAATTAAGCAAATACAGCTGTTGTTCCAGTGCTTTCTTCGCAGCTTCATACCAAATCGATCAAACTGGTCGACAGGTTTTATGTTCTAAAGATATTTTCTAATTATTTTTTTCTTCAAGAGGAACTATTGTTTCGGCGGTTCTCAAAAATTGTCTTGTTTTTTCATTAACTTTCGTGTTTCCATCGTGGTTCAATCAATAATTTTTGTATCGTTCTATTTAAATGTATTAAAATATATAATTTTAATAATTGTTTCTAGATAATTTTTTATTCAAATAAATTAGAAGTTTACAAAGTCATTTTCTCTCGCTGTCTATTTGCCCTATCCTCTGATTGTTTTGTATATCGATTATGTTTTCAAATTCATTCACTCAAAGTTTAAGTGCAATATAAAAATCCCGGACGTTACACCATCACTAATATGCCGTCAGAGTTAATTAACATTTTAAAAATAACTTTGTGGTGCGGTAAATTATGTAATTTATACAGTCTATAAATATAAGTAAATAAGAAGTTAATTTCTCATTAGAAGAATAACAATACATACGACACATACGTATCAGCAAAACAAAATTATCAAAATCGTAGATTGTTCGTTGATTTAAAGAAATGATTAATTACTATATACTGTAACTCCCATAACTGTGAAAATAAAAACCATACACATATAAGTGATTTTATAACGTAACAAATACAAACAAGAAATAAATTGAAATTACTGAATTTGCCAAGTATATAAGTAATGGTGTATATATATAATAAAATAAAATAAAATAAAATAAAACATTAAAAACTGAAAGGAACTATTCAAAATTTGACGGACTTGAAAGCTTTTTATTAATTGAAATGAAATTATATCGAATTTAATTAAAACGAAATAATACAATATATCATAAACATGTTACGATCGTAATCATGAGTATGAAACTGTTTTACCATATTACGATGGTTCGCTGGGTAAGGGACAGATAGCGCTTCAGTTCCTTTTTGTAGTATTTGCGGTAGTTTTGAGTTATGCCGCGGTGTATGAAATTTATTTTGGATTATGCGGATTATAAATTTCTATGTATAAGTATTCTAATAAGACGAGTCCTATAATTTATATCAGTAGAGAATCAACATGTGCAACTATATGTCTTTTCCGCACGCGCGGGTGATAGTTTTAAACGCAGCACATGGTCTGAACAGATTCGAGTGATTCAATCGCAACCACGCACATAAGTATATACGTGAAAATAGCGTGTAGTAAGAAAAAACCGCTTCGATTTGCATATGCAACACTAAAAACAAAGAGGCGTGTAATGGAATGCGCAGAATCAAGCAGGCGGCAGTTAACAAAAGCGACTCTTTGGCTTTCGCGCAACGACGGATCGGTTCTCGATGAGGCAATATTTAACGCGCGAACGAACATTATTGCCAACGCGGCATGGCTGATTAAAAAAAGAACCGAAAGAAAAAAAAACGCGCTCAGGCTAATCACGAAATTCCAGTGCGAGCGTTCTCGGGCGTCCGCCTGCACCATTAGAAAGTCGAAAAATCAATCTGAGTAGAGTGTGACGCTGTTAATACACACCGTCCATAACTTTTACAGAAATCGCCGCTCTTTGTTTTTTCTCTGCCACTGTGCAACTTTGCAGCCGTGTATCCATTTGTTTTCTTGCTCAGACGCGCATTAAACTGTAGTTCGTTACTTTTACGCGTAGACTCAACGAATTCCAATCGGATTCCCATGTCAGTGGTTCCACGTTGATTTGAGATGGCTACATTAACTTCGCGGTGTAATTATTTGAGAAACTTCCATGTACGGACCGCGACTGCGGTTACTTCCAGGCTTTCGGGCGCGAACAGATCAGCGCTCCTGTTCCGTCAGCGATGATCGATGGCGCGCAGCGCGGGAGAAAATCGAAAGCACCTGTCGATGGACGCGGAGGAGGAAAATCGGCGAGCGCGAGCAGCAGGGCGAAAGGAGAGAGAGAGAGAGAGAGAGAGAGAGAGAGAGAGAGAGAGAGAGAGAGAGAGAGAAGGCGAGGATTAGGAAAAGTGAGCGGCGTACACCTCTTCGCCAGAGAGCATTAGCCTGTGGGTGCTGCGGCGGTCGTCGGGGAAATTAGCATAAAGCCGACCGGACTTACCGGCTGCTCGAGATATACATTACTCTCGGCGCGCGCGGAGAGGAGAAACGGTTGGGCGGCTCTTTTTCCTCCGTCGGCCGGCATGACCGACTAGCCGCGCGCGTCTCCTTTCATTTGAGCCCGCGATCGCCTCGCCCGCGTGCGATATGCACGCACGAGCGAGAAGCCTATACTTCTCTCCTATATCGACAGCTGCTCTCTTTCTTCTTTCGATATGGCCGAGCTGCCTGTCGACGTCTTATCAAAACAAAACGCCGCTTAGGGAAAGTGCATCCTTTGAAACGAGCTGTGAAAATACGCGAGGCGCGAAAATTGCCGACGTTTAATGAATAATAGTGGGAGATGCACGCGCGCGTCTATGAAAGCGCGTTGCGGCGTACTTTTTTTTGTTTTCTTTCTCGTCGGCGACTGTGACGCGCGAGGAACAATGCGCTTTCCCACGTGAGTGGCTGAGCAGTCGGCGCTCCCGTCTCGTTTTGTTCTTGGAGGCGCGCGCGCGTCTTCCCTCGCGCTTGTTCGCTTAGTCATTTTTCTTTTGTGCGCGCACGGCAGCCGCGGCGGCGGCGGCGGCGGCGGCGGCACGCCACTCGCAATAAAACTCATCAATGAGGAAGTTCGCGCCTCGGTTTATGGATGCCCTCGAGAGAGATGCCTCTCTTTCTCCCGGCACGTAAATCTGCTCGTTGGGGAATTCGCCAGCCGAGAAGGAATTTGATTTTGTAACACGCGAATGCAGATGCGGCTGTCTTTCCTCTTCCTCCCGAGGAACGCCGAGAAGCCGCGTTGCATTATTTGTTGCAGGCGTTTCGTCTTCCTTCCAATTTTAGTCACACGAAGAATAGTGTGAACTTTTTACTGCACGCCTAGCTGTAACATAAATACCGCGTACAAAAGATTATAATTTTGCTGCAAAGTACCCGGTCATTAACTGCTTGTGCGAAAATTGTCGGTATAGAGGTGTACCAGCTACAAGTAACATATTGCAGCCAGAGAACTAAATTTTTAGCGCAAGAAAGCGCAGTTGCCTGTGCAGCGTAAAACGTTCGTCGTCGATCGACTGACCTATTTCATTGAATCGATCGTCCACGATAAACGGTCCACTCCCGTCGCCGTCGTGGAAAACTGCAGATCCCGCCAACTATGGCTTTCATTGCTCGAATTTTTGCCCCATGAGTCGGCCGAGAGAAGATGATAACAGCAGCCCTTTCGTAGAGTGCTCCGTGTGCACGTCCACGCTCATCCCTTCGTTGACTGAATCGTTTTGCCAATCACCGGCTGTCTGTATTTCAACAATAATATTTGTCACTTTTGTACGGATACAGCTTCATTGACTATAATTTGATCCTCTTAGGACGTGGTTCGATCTTGACGATTTTACTGCGTCTTTAGAGTGTCTCGTCCAGCTCGCCGTCACTGCCGACAAACAGGAAAGAGTATTGCTGAAGCATCGAAATGAGCAGTGACGTACCGTAGTAATATTCGCTGGGTATAGACATACCTCTACACATATAAGTGTACCAACTGACATTAGAAAATGAGATTTTTCAATCCAACCAATGTCCAATGTATACTTATATTTAAAATTTATACATGCGCGTACAAGTGCATCAATAAACAACGCATAAAAAAATTCGAAACGAAATGTTATTAATGTATAGCAAGGCCTGAGGAAAGTATAAAAATGGGGATGCAGCCATTGGTGTCACTCTGACAAAAGGTAATATTTCGAGTGAATCATAAGACAGAATAGTGAAACTAACCATATTCCGAGTACATTTTAAAACGGACATACTGCAAAAGAGAATAAAGCCTTGAAACACGGAGACACGTGGTTCACAGATGGGTTTAAATATGACAGGAACATAGGATTTGATGTTTGTGAACACAGGCAAGGGAAAGGTATAGCCTATGATCTGAAGGAGTACAACGCTATCTTTCAAGCGAAAATGGCCTCTATAAAGATGTGTGCTATGTGTGAATCTGGTACGAAACAGAGTGGAAAGTAGAGTTATTAAATTCTGCACAGATAATCAAGCGTTAATAATAGCGCTTGAGAATTTGGCCACGACATCATCACTGGTCAAAGCGACCAAGAAAGTACTGATCGATTTGGCTATAAGAAACTTTATTATTATTACGTGGATAGCTGGACACTCAGGGTACAAGAGTAATAAGAAGGCGGACAAGCTGGCCAAGCAAGGAGCAGAGACAGGCGCACGCACACCCGAACTGGAAGGTGGGAATGCCATACCTAGAAGGGTGCACGAGAATAAACTCCATGGTGGAGGAAGAAATGTGGATAACCTGAGAGAAATCCCAGGGATATAGATGGTAAAAAATCTTGCTAGTACAAAATATAAATAAATAGACCAACAATCTAAGAAACTCGAGGAAACGGGAGGCCAGAATAATACTGGGAGTATTCAGTGAATATTTCGAGCTTCACTGCTAAACCCATAAAACACAAGGGCATAGCAACTTGTGTAGATGATGCGAGGAAGAGGAGGAAACACC